CAAGTTTTCCCTTTCATTTAACATTAAAATTGCAGTCTTGTAGATGTAAAGGTTTGTCAAAGTTAAAATTTTGTTATCTTTAAAATAGGGTCTACAAGATTGCAACCTTCCAAGAGAAAATATGGCACGAATGGCTCTTTTTTGGAGAAGAAAGGTGTCTTTTGCCCCAACAGAAATGCCCCAGAATTCCACTCCATATTGTAAAAGGCTGTAGAAATATGCATAGTAGACAGTCATTGCTACTTCCCTGCCAATATTCTGTTTTGCAGTTCTAATAGCGTAGATTGCACTACTCAAAGATTTGTTCAGTGAGGAGGTATGGTTTTTCCAGTTCAGTGCGTTATCCATGTATACTCCAAGAAATTTTAGATGTTGTTGAGAAGTAACACTACCATTTTCAGTGGCAATGTTAAGTTCTCCAATCTTTTTGTTGGGTTGAAAAAGCATGTTGAATGTTTTTTCAACATTGAGGACCAGCTTGTTTGCCGCAAACCAATCATTTATCTCATCTAGCAGCTGTCTACCTTCTGTTTGAAGATCGTTCAGGAGCTTTTTACGTAAAGTAATGCTGGTATCGTCAGCGAAAAGTGTAAATAAAGCGGATGGAAAGTTGATGTCAAGATCATTAACATATAATAAAAATAATAGTGGTCCCAATATAGATCCCTGGGGTACGCCACACGTAAGTGGCCTCAACGTTGACTGTATTTGTTCCAAATTATTATTGACATTTTGTTCGACTTCAACAAAAATTTGCCAGCCATGGATGTAGGAAAAAAACCAGTTATTGGTAATACCATAGAATTCCAATTTTTCAAGGAGTATATTATGGTCGACACAATCGAACGCCTTTGACAGGTCGCAAAGATGGTCAAAGGATGTTCTCTTTGGTCTAGAATGAGATTTACGTTTTTCACCAAATTATGTATAGCTTGGGTGGTGTTTTTCTTTTTTTGGAATCCAAATTGATTTTCACTTAGAATGGAATTTTGTGCAATATAATCTGTCATCTGATTTTTTACTGCTGTTTCTAATATTTTGGAAATCGTTGGTAATAATGAGACAGGTCTATAATTCTCAATTGCTGTTTTTTGTCCTTTTTTAAAAAGGGGTTTAACTTTGGCAATTTTGTAGCAGTCTGGAAATATACCAGATTTTAATGAGAGATTTATTAAGTAAGTTATTGGCTTTTTAAGTATGTTTATGGTATTTTTTATAACTGTAATAGGTATTTCGTCATATCCAGAACTAGGTTTTGATAATAATTTTTCAGTTATCCGATAGACTTCTTTTTCGGGGACCTCCTTGAATGAAAATGGACGGTTTAGATTAACTTTAACATTTTTTAAGAATTCAGTATGTGTTTTTTTGCTTTTAATTTTTTCCGTGAGTTTTTGTGCAATTGTTTGGTAAAACTGAGCAAAATGGTTTGCGACTTGAGTTGGATCAGTAATTTTTCTATTATCTATTTCCAGTTCCAGGTTTTCTTTTAATTTTGAGGGCTTTTTTTGTATGTTTGTTTTTATTGTATCCCATGTTGTTTTAATTTTGTTGGCTGAGTTTTCTATTTGTGATTTAAAATGTTTTTGTTTTGCAGCGGTTATTATGTTTTCAAGTAATTTTGAGTAGATTTTTACATAGTTTTTAAGAAATGTAGATGAGGAAAAATGGTTTCTTAAGAAAATAAGCGATCTTTTATTTTTACAAGAAATTCTGATTGCATTGGTCAGCCAACCTTTATAAAATTTTTTGTTATTAATATTATTAAGAGGGTAAGACTGTTTGAAGCAGCCTCCCAGAAGTCTATTGAACTCCTGGAAGGCGTCATCCACTTCAGTCTTACCAAGGAGAACATTCCAATTTACAGTTTTTAATAGATTTTCGAAAGATTCATTGTTTTTGTTGTTAAATATTCGTTTTTTTCGTGAAATGGACTTTGTCTGTATTTGTTCATTAAGGAGTAATTTAATAATTTGACCTGTGTGATCAGAAATTCCAAAGTCTTTGTTTATTAATGTATGAATTTCTTCCTTGTTTTGAACTAGAATGTTATCTAGAGTTGCAGGTGGCCCATTTCTTATTCTTGTTGGTTGCTTAACAGTAATTGAAAGTTGGAACGAATTTGTGACCTCCTCAAATGAAGCTCTTTCTTGGTCATCCTTTTCAAAATGGATGTTAAAGTCTCCGCAAATGACTATCTTATACTTGGGAAAAAGTAATGTTATTTCATTATTTAAGTCATAGAATTTTTCTAGGAAGGTTTGCAAATTACCATCTGGCGATCTATATAAACAAACAACTATTGTTCTATTTGATCTAATAATTGCTGCTACATACTCGAATTCAATTTCAGTTTTTTCGACACTAAGTTTAAGTTCTTCAATTTGTAAGTTAGGATTAACAAAAATCATTACTCCACCATGTATATGGTCCTCACGACAGAAAGACGCGATACGATTGTAGCCTGGAAGAATTGCAGTAATTTCCTGCCCTTCTTTGTACTAGTGTTCGGAGGTGCAGACGACTTGTACTTCTGGGTCGTTTTCTTCTAGAAGAGTACCTAGGATGTCTAGTTTATTTCCTAGGCATTGCATGTTTTGGTGAAAGATCGTCAACAGATTTGAATTTAGTGCGCTTTCTGTTGGGTGGGGGGGCCTTTATGCTGTTTTTTACCTTCTTTGCCATTGGTAGTGACTGTTCCGAAAAGTTCGGCTGGGTCCATACTGCTGGTATGTATTGTTGTTTTGTGAAGTTTTTTGTATAAACTTAGCCACATAGCAACCAGAAGGCCAAAAGTCCGCTGATAAGTATTCGGCTTCCAGTTCTTCTGGAACTCCTAGTTTAAAAGCTGCACTCTTTGGGTTTCTAAATTTTGATCTAAGTTTTTCGCACTTGTAAATGTCTTTTGATTTTGGATCTAGCTGAGCTGGTGTTGTATTTACATCAAGATTGGATATGCAAATAAACTTTAGATTTTGTTGGTTCCCAATGTTTGGATTGGCGACTTTTAAAGATTCTCTCTGAGGTCCTGAACAAATAAGTCCCTTTCTTACATTACTTGGATCTTTGGCTGGTAGGAAGCTACTGGTATTTGATGTTCTAATTTCTTGGATGGGTGGTGCAGGTTTGAGTGTTTTATTCAGCCCTGTATAAATTTGTAGCATCTCCAAATTTGTTTCTTTTAGATTAGTAAGCTCCATGATACTAAAACACAGAAGATATGATCATTTGGTGGACGAAATTTGAACCAGTTCGCGCATGACGTCATCGCGTGACAAAAATGTATGGAGATAATAGAGAAATTAGCTTGTTCGTTATGATTTGACTGGTAAATCAGAATTTCTCGTGATAATAATTCAGATATACAAAATAAAACACGATCCAGCGTATAGTGTATAATTTATTTCACATAAAATAGCTATTTAGAAATTTTTTTTATCATTGAATTGAATAAATTACAAATATACATAAATATATTAGTTTTGGATACAAATTTCTACTTCTACTTATCATAAATATTAATAACACTTTTTTTACATTTCTTCAAAACAATTTCTGATGCTTAATAAATATTTGTAACCATAGTCTGGCTGAAGCACGTACAAATTCCAATCCCCACAGGTAGAATTTAACAAAAATGTGCAAAATGTCACAGCTAAATAATATGTTAAAAGTAGACAACTATAATAAAGGAAAATTGGAACATCATTACACCACACATGGCTACTACATACTTTTTATGTATATTTTTGACCATATCCCTTTCATTATTTGTTTTGTCATAGTCTTTCTGTTTTCTGTTTAGATGTTTCAGCTTTCGGAGATTTAATTTTTGATACTGAAGTCCAGCTTCCGATTGCACCCATATATCACAATTATATCTATAACTAGGCATGTTTTTACTTTTTTTTTATTATTGTTTCTGCTACCTGCTACAATCCACGACCGCACAGTAAACCATGGTTTATGTTTATGCTATAACTATTTATTAAAGAGACTCAAACACAAATGAACAGAATACAATTTTAACAAGGAGATTTTCACGTAAGAAAAATACTAATATACAGATAAAACGATTAAAAACGAACAAAAACACGCCAAGACGCCATTAATCAGACCGAATTTATCACGGGATGATGTCAGCGGAGGGACAGAGACAGAACATAAACATGCGCGTGATCTTATCTTGTGTGTTCTAGTATCATGAGTAAGCTCTATACTTAACTCATTTATTTGTGCTTTTGATGAATTTTCTGAGTCTTCAATACTCGCCTTTATATCTAAAGCAAGTTTTTGTTTTTGTTTTTCAAGCTCTGATTTGCAACTTTCCATTAAGGTTTGCAGAATGTTATTGTAGTGTACTGCATTTTTATTTAGGGGAAAAAGTTCATTATAACTTGGTTGCAAATAAAAAGTATTTTCAGTACAATTTTAATTTTTAACTTTTCAATTGAAGATTTCCGCTGAAACATTCACTTCAAAATGCTTTATTTGAACGTTAAACAAACAATTCTTATTCAAAAAAATACTATTTTAGGTGACCGGGCTATACTGCATATTTATTTAGGAGATAAAGTGCAGTATAGCCCGGTCACCTAAAATTAAAAAAAAATTGAGTATTTTCAACATAATTTTAATTTATAATTTTTGAATTAAAGATTTCCGCTAGAAAATTTTCTTCAAAATGCACTATTTGAACGTTTAAACAAACGATTCTTATTAAAAAAAAAAACCATTTCAGGTGACCGGGCTATACTGCATATTTATTTAGGGGATAAAGTGCAGTATAGCCCGGTCACCTAAAATACCTATTTTTTTGAGTATTTTCAATATAATTTTAATTTGTAATTTTTAAATTAAAGATTTCCGCTGGAAAATTTTCTTCAAAATGCACTATTTGAACGTTAAACAAACGATTCTTATTCAAAAAAATACCATTGTAGGTGACCGGGCTATACTGCATATTTACCTATATTTTTTTTAAAATTAATTCCTTGTAGATCCAAGCAGGAAATGGCCAAGTGACCATTACCAATGACGGGGCCACAATTTTGAAGCAAATAAATGTTATTCATCCAGCAGCAAAAATGGTAAGACTCCCTTATGTTAGTAATAATGTATACCTACTTTTTTGAAAAAAAAAAAACTCATTTTTGAAAATCGCTGGCAAGGACTGTGACGTCCGAGGGGTAAACAATCTAAGCCAAAAATGCTATGATGCCAAATTTCTCATTAGTACATTATGCCAATACATGACTGCATTGAATAATTAAAGTATTGCATTCTACATCCATTTCTAGGAGAACTGTATTTTTTTTATTTTGTTCAAATGTTATCACACACTTCTAGAAAAAAATATCAAAAATCATAATTTGTATTTTTATATAATGGAATGCACGAGGGAATGCATGAAGTAGCTTAGTGTAAGTTCTACACAATACCACAAGATGGCCCACCGTCTTTTATGAAGTTCACTGTAGCATTTAAAGTGCGTTTTTTTTTAAAGATAAAAGTCAAACTGACATTAGGTTGGCAATACAATTTAAAATTGTCAATGCTATCAAATTTTTCATCAAGTTTTTCATGTAGAAAAGGCTTGTGTTGCGAACATAGTTACTAAATTTTTGACTTGGGGAATTATCTTATAAAAAAAAACAGATTTTAGCATCTGTTGTGTCACTATCAATGAGATTCAAGATTTAACAATAGTTATTTATTATACAAAGGAAAAAAGTACTAGATTTTAGCATGAGGTATGGTTTGTCTGCACAGCGAGCGCTAAAATCTTACTTTTTTCCCATCTATAATACACTATTTTTTTCTGTGACGGGAAAATATCACCATTTTCCATCTAAACAGTATTCCCTTTGACTATTTCACTAGTGTGTTTTACACTGGCAAAATGTCATAGGAACGGCCGGTTTCCTACTGACAAAACTTCTACCTGTTCCTACCTGGGCAAAACCAACATGATGGTTTTTCAGCGACAAAATTTTGTGTGGTTAAGGTAAAAAACTATTCAATTCAATCCATCTGTCAAAACGGAAAATTCAATGTGTCGTGGCGGCCAAGCAAGTTTGTTTTGAATATGTTTTTATGCGTATTTTAAATTATTTTGCTTACAACTTTGATTTTCATTATTTAATAAAATATTTGTTGACTAGGTACCTGAACTATCAATGCCAGCAGAAACTAGATATTTTTTTGTGTTTTTTGGCCCATGTGTGGCCGCCACGCCATCTTGAATGTCACGTGGTTTGAATTGCCTAATTCAATTTGACAAGTGTCACCTAAAGAAAATTAATTCTCCAAATGAAAATTTGGCTTGTTTTTCTCGTGAAATAGTCCAGCCGAATACCACTCAAGAAAAAATTATGTAGGCAAAATTATTCTCTTGGTTTTATTCAAGTTTGTTGCTTTTTGGTAATTTCGCTCAAAAAAAATTGACTGGTACCTGTTACTTTTTTCCCTCGGGAAAAAAATTGACTGGTACCTGTTACTTTTTTCCTGTGGGAAAAAAAATCACTTTTTTCCCATGGGAGAAAAAGTGACATTTTTGCCCCTGTCAACAGGTACAAAAAGTCTACTTTTTTCCCGTCACAGAAAAAACATTATTTATTAGGTCTATTTGCACAGAAATCACAAACCCGTTACAAGTGAATTTCATTGGTTGAAACTAGTTTTCTGACTGTTTTCAATCAATGAAACTTGCTTTAACTGGTTTGTGATTGCTGTGCTAACAGACCTATTAATTATAGGATTTAAAAAAACCAAACTGACTTGGTAATAAGACACAAAAATATAATTTTGACAGCCTTGCATTAAATACAACCCTCTGTTAATGACTTTCTCTAATAACCATAAGTGACGTCAGAATCTTATGATACTAATTTCAAATTGCTGCTTGGGTACTAATGTCAAATTGCTGCGGACACTGTGACGTCAGAGGCCCAAAAATGCGAGGTCAAATTTCTCATTAGTACATCTCATTCCAAAACATGACTGTGTCAAGTCAAAGTATGGTACTACAAAGCAAAAACTTCTAATTCATTTTTATCTTGTGTCTGTCTTAAGGTGAATCGATATTTATCTGTCTTTGTCTAGGATAGAAAAAAAGTTATGATTAATCAAAGTTTTCAAAAATTCATGTCCGAAGAAGGGGGGTGGAGAGGTTAAAAACTTGTTATCCTATTCGCGTCCTTTACTATCCTATAAAAAATAATGTTATTCAAACTCTTATTGCGTAGTACTAGTACAATAAACCTTAAATAGCGAATTCCATTGGAAGGGTTAGTGTGCACTGAGTGTATCCATGTCTTTTTCTACCAGCTTGTATAAGAAAGGATTAAAAATACATTTTTTCTGCACTGGTTCTACCAATGGAATTTGCTATACATGTTTGTCTACATGTTGCGAAATCTTTTTGCTAGCAAAATACCAAAAAAAGGAAAACAAATATATACAGGGTGTTTTTTCACTATTGAGAACTTTTTAAAAATATATAAAAGTTGACAATAATGAAAATTTTGCCTCTTATTGGTTCTTGAATTTTTCTAGTAGAAATATCTAGCCATTCAAGAGCCGGTAATAGTTCAAATTTTGATTCTTACAGGCTCTATTAATCTTTGGATAATTATCCTCAAAGCAACTAAAAGCCAAATAAAGTCACCTCCTTAAATATTCACATTCAATTAGAAAACACCCTGTATGTAAAAGTTATATTTTCTAGTGGTTCTCGTCAGTCCTTATTTACTTTGCGTTTACATTTTCTTGCTTCATAAGTGAGCTATATGCTGTCAAAAAATACGGAACAACCCTGTACATATTTGTTACATTTTCATTAGATAAAATTTCAAAGTATATTCAATTTGTACTGAAAAATAGGAAGAAAACATAGCATCCATAATAAAAGTCAGTTGAATGGAAATTTCACATTTTGATAACAAAGCACATGAATATCGCCTTTAACCAATGGGAGGGCGTTTTCAGTCACATAATTTTTTGTTAATAATTATCATTTCTAAAACACGAAAGTGGTCAATTACTCAAAAGAATTTCTATTATTTTAGTTGGTAGAATTATCCAGAGCTCAAGACGTTGAAGCTGGAGACGGTACCACCTCAGTAGTAGTCATTGCCGGAGCTCTCCTAGATGCCGCTGAAAGATTACTGAACCGTGGCATTCATCCCACAGCGATTTCTGAATCTTTCCAGCGAGCAGCCGTGCATGCTTTGCAGGTAAAACTCTAAAAATTTTCTGTTCAATTTGTATCAAAATCTCAACATTTTTACTAGATTTTAAACAACATTGCCACCCCAGTGGAACTAAACAACCGAGAACAACTAATCAAAACTGCAGCAACTTCCTTAAATTCAAAAGTAGTCTCTCAACAATCTAGCCAGCTTGCTCCATTAGCTGTAGATGCTGTACTAAGAATTGTTGAACCAGGTAAGAACATTTTTTATTCAGATATGAATGAATTTGTAATTATTTCAATAATTCATTATCAGTTACATACAGTGAGCATGTAAAGGTTGGAATAAAATCTATAAAATATACACGGTGGATATTTTTCAAAAAACCTCGGACACGTTAATTTTTGATTTTATTGGCCATTTTTTTGATGATAATACCATATATACAGGGTGGCCCAAAAACAAGTTATGACAGCTAACTATATTTTTTTGGATGAAAACACTATTTTTTAATTTCATTTTCAAATTCTAAGTTGAACTCTGAATATATTTCATGTATCATGTCTTATACCTATCTTCAACTGTTTCGGAAATATTGACAGTTGAAAATTGACTTTTTTGCAACTTTGACAGGCTGTAGAACCTAAACGGTTAATTTTAGAGCAAAACCGATCATACATTTTTGTCTCAGTTTTCTATAAACTACCATTTGACACCAACTTTTAACCGGAGATTAAATTTAGCCCCAATTTTTAACCATGGATTTAATTCAAATACAAGAATGTATGATTTGTTTTGCTGTAAAATTAACCATTTAGGTTCTACAGCCTGTCAAAGTTGCAAGAAAGTCAATTTTCAACTGTCAATATTTCCGAAACTGTTAAAGATAGGTATAGGACATGATACATGAAATAGGTCACCCTGTATATATGGTATTGTCATCAAAAAAATGGCCACTAAAATCAAAAATTGACATCTCCAAGGTTTTTTGAAAAATATCCACCCTGTATATTTTATAGATTTTATTCGAACCTTTACGTGCTCACTGTATAATATAGAATATAAATTCACTAATTATGTTAACAAACCTATTCAAATTTTTTCAAAATAAGAAATCCATTTTAGGTCGTGAAGCTGCCTGTAATCTCAGTGACATAAAAGTCCTCAAACAACTTGGCGGTACAGTGGAAGACACCGAACTTATCAACGGTTTAGTGTTTCCGCAAAAGTTGGCCAACGTTTCTGGTCCAAAAAGGATGGAAAAGGCCAAAATTGGTCTTATCCAATTTTGTATTTCACCTCCTAAAACCGATATGGACCATAACATTGTTGTTTCGGATTATTCCGCCATGGATAGAGTTCTGAAGGAGGAACGTGCTTACATTTTGAATATTGTTAAGCAAATTAAAAAGGCTGGATGTAATGTTTTATTGGTGAGTGTTTTTGAATTATTTAGGCAGGAACATCAAAAATTTTCCAAAAATGACACTGAGACAGTTTTTGCCTCACAGCTCTGTTAATTTTCATCCAATTCCAGTGTAATTGAGCTCTAATTAAAGCCAATTTAATTCTCTATAAACCTGTTAATTAATATTTTAATTTGGTTCCATTTATTCATTTACTAATTTAATTATTGGCTCTTGAGGCCTTGGATATTTTATCTAGAGGCCTTCAAGAGCCGGTAATATTTATCACTGGCTCTTGATTTGTTACAACAATTTCCTATTTATTCAGGTCCAAAAATCCATCCTCAGAGATGCAGTCTCTGACTTGGCCATCCACTTTTTGGACAAAATCAAGTGCATGGTCATCAAGGACATTGAAAGGGAAGACATTGAATTCGTTTGCAAAACCTTGAGTTGCCGTCCCATTGCTTCTCTTGATCATTTTGTCGCCGAAAATTTAGTATCCGCTGAACTCGTAGAAGAGGTTGGATTTGGAGGAAACAGGATGGTCAAAGTTACAGGTAAGAATTTTCACTGTCTTTTCACGTATCTTTTTCTAACAACTTGATTTTTAGGTATTCAAAATCCTGGCCCTACAATCACCCTTCTAGTACGAGGTTCCAATAAATTGGTCCTAGAAGAGGCAGAAAGGTCTCTTCATGATGCCCTATGTGTGGTTCGTTGTCTTGTACGTAAGAAGGCAGTCATAGCTGGAGGAGGAGCTCCAGAAATTGAGCTGGCTTTAAGATTGGCCGCTCTAGCTGATAAACTGGAAGGTGTAGATGCTATTTGCCTTAGAGCTTATGCTAATGCTTTGGAGATTATTCCGTTTACTTTGGCTGAAAATGCTGGATTAAATCCTATTCAGGTAAGTGAGAGATTTTAGTTGTTTTTTGGGTTTAATTTGGGTTTTGTTGTAGACTGTTACAGAATTGAGGAATAGACATGCTAAAAACGAGGTATCTGCTGGTATAAATGTCCGTAAAGGGTGCATTTCAGATATCCTAGAGGAAAATGTCATTCAGCCTCTTTTGGTAACCACTTCTGCTTTGTCTTTTGCTACAGAAACTGTGAGATCGATTTTGAAAATTGACGATATTGTAAGTATTTTTTTTTGTTTATTCTAGGATGCAATTTTTATTTTTGTTTCTTTGCAGGTCAACACAATGACCTAAAAATCTCAACAGCAACAAAATATGCTTTTAGTATTATTAATTATTTCACTTAATTTTCATTAACCTGTTGTAGTTTTGTCTCACTGCTTTTTAATAAATTAAATTCATTAATTTTATTATAAGTTTTTCAATTTCAATATAAAAATAATTATAATCTATACAATACATAATGTGTTATCATTGTACACAGATATTTGGGCTTCTTGCATTATCCTGAGTCTGGGTCCTAGGGGGATTCCCATTTTTTGTAGCCTCTCTTCTGTTAGGTAAGGCAACTCTACCATACCAATTTTTTCAGTTTCGAAAACGTTGGCATATTTCTGATAATAAAATTATGTGTATTTAATAATTATACAGGGTGTTATAAATTTCATTTACCTCATATCCAAGCTTCCTCAAAAACAACCTCAACAAGGGCGGTTCATCTCCAAAAAACTTTGTCAACTTTTTAACCCTTGTAGGATTTGCTAGACTGGGCAATTCTACGTTGGCCGTAGGCCTAGAAGAGTGAGATCTGAAAATAGACGAGCAATATTTATTTCCATCTAGTTCCAACAAATTCGTCTAAATACCGTATATTCAGCATATTGGTTTGAGCACGTAACGCAGCAACTTCTTGTCTCACAGACTCAATTTCCTGGACCACTAAATGCTGAGTTCTCATCTCGCTGGACAAATGAGCTACGCTTCTTGCCAGAGTGACCACGTGGGCTTCCAGTCTTTGGAAACGACGGGCTGTGGTTTTGGGTTCTCGAACGTTTCTGCGTCTGTCTTCTACTGGAATTCCTCTGATGTAGCGCCGTTCTCTTCTTACTGAACTTACTGAGGAAGATGGCAATGAAGACATACTACCATGTCTACAATAATGGATTACAGTCAAGTATGGCCAACAAGGTGCCAGGGCATAGAGGAATTGAAGGAAATGAAAAAGCAGATGCTCTAGCAAGAGAAGGATCAGCAACCCAGTTATACTGGTCCTGAACCGGCAATTGGCATCACAAAATCTTTGGTAAAAACAAAAATAAACCAATTGGGTGTATAGAGACATCACCAAACCTACTCGCAAACTCTTCCGAAGCTCAGACACAGAAAGCTAATGGTACAACAACTATCACCTAAACTTAATGAAAATATCCTACAACTAAACGGGAATCAAATCTGGACTTATAACTGGGCACTGTAGCCTGAGAAAACACCTTCACACAATGGGCATCCTCCAAGAAGAACCCATATGCAGACTTTGTGAAAAAGAGGATGAAACCGTCACCCACATAATCTTCAAATATGAGGCTTTACGCTGGTAGAGATACAGAGAAATAGGGCCAGAAGACCCTATCTCTAAATTCACCAAAAGTAACACGGTGAAGAGGCTCCTAAACCTTATCAAGGTCACGAAACTTTTCACTAACTAAACAGATAAACAGGATAATACAATAAGCCAGGGCCACCTAACCCAGCCTGTTTACTCTACATCTCAAACAACCAACCAATTAAAATTGAAAATTGTTACCTCTTCTTATGGATCCTAGGATCCGAAGGTTGATATCTATTAGCCCCAGGCCTTTTGTTGACTCCTAAAAACTTCAAAACTTCCGAGTACATATTTTCCAAGCCTTCCAATTGTCTGCGGATCGCTTTAGTATCAGCCACACTCAAATTAGCGTCAGAATCGCTTTGACCATCCAAAATCGATTCTAAATCCAAAGATCTTGTTGTTGTCGATGTAAAATCTGTACTGTCCAGACCGAAAACTAGAAAAATTTTATGCATCATTTTATTATTAGCTCAATCGATGAACTATTAACTCTTTTGTTGTCTCGTGTTTTTATTTTCTTTTATGAAATGATTGCCCCATAAAAGAGACGCCCTCGATCCCAATAAATATTTAATGGTATTTTCTAGCCCCAGCGAGGATGAATTTAATAGGAATAGAGTTTATGTTTTGTTTTGTTTCGCTATTCCAGAACAGATCAAAGAACCTTGAGAAGCAAAATGTGTATTTTATATGGAGACTTTGAGGGTATTAGAGACACCCCAAAAACTTTCGGGATGCACCCCTTCTTTAACGACATTAAAATCCAGGTTAATGTGCTTACTTTGTTTACCCCTCATAGCTGTATTATAATCGATTTTCTTGCCATATTTATTCATTTTCGTACTATCCTCATAAGTGGAGTGCAATTTTCCTGCTTTGTAAGCATCATAATGTAAATTTCTTCCTGATGTAGGCAATTGGCTATAGGTAAAATAAGTAATGCTTTTAATATTATTATTAATATAATTTAAAAATAATTACCCTTTGAAATTTGCTTTAGGTGATCCTCCTCCTAACGGTGGTAGAGGTGGTGTAATTGAAGAGATGCTTCCACTTACAGTCGATCTTGTAATGCCATGATTACTGCCTCGTAATGAGAGTTCGAGCAATTTTGGTTCTAAAATGTTTCTGAGCTCTTTTTCAACTATGTCCACCCATTCAGAATCGTTTTCTATAAATACAACAATTATAAATCAATTTCTGAGCTTCAAATTTGTTTTGTTTAGTAAAAATGCCTCAATTAATAAGTTTTAAAAATTTGAAGTAATTCTGAGTGTTTGAAGTATCGAAGATGATATTATTAGAAACTTTACGTATTTTTGGTTCTGGAAAATTTTCAAAATCTTGACATGTCTTGAGCAATTGCCCATATCTTTATTGAACTTTGAGCAAATTAAGATGAATTATATACCATTGGAAAGAGCATTAAATTCTCTATAAATCAGTGCCTAATTGAGTTTGATAGCTCAAAAAGTTTTTGAGTAATTGCGCCTCAAAGTTCAAATTCAATTTTCTCAAAAAATTATTTTCTAAATTCTAAATCATAAGGTACCTTCTTACTAAAACGATGAAATTTCAAATTTTTTTTTGTCGAGATTTTGTATCCTAATGGTCAATCAACATACCCCAAACTCCATGCACTAAATTATTCTCAGATTTGAAGCCGAAATTTATGTAAAAAGGCACTCAGAAAAATTGAAAAATTGATAAATCACCCCAAATTGCTTGACACGATTTTATCTCAGGAACTATAAGTGCAAATGAGCTGAAATTTTCAGGGATTGTAGTCCCTTTATTGAAAAAAATTTCAGTGAAAATTTCAGCTTTCTATCTATAATAGAAAAAAAAGTTTCTTCTTACTAAAACGATAAAATAACATTTTAAATTTTACTTTATTTGCTCTTTTGATTTTTATCTCATGAACTCATATTAATCAATTTACCTTGATCATTAGTATCATCATTATATCCTCTCGGCGATGTCCTAGCAGTATCGATAATATCATCCATTTGTGGTCTTCTTCCACTACTATAAGCAGCACTACCTCTTCCAGAATCGATATTGGAAGCTCGATCCCTTTCACCTTTATTAATAATTAATTTATGAAAAAATTCAATCACAAATTTAATAAACGCATACCAGCTTCATTTTCCACTCCTCTTCTTTTTGGTGTGTCGCCTTGTGACGTTTCAATTGCTTTGGCTTTATTATTATTCTCTTGGACAGAAACAGGGACTTCTTTTTGATTAAAATATTTTTCTTTTGAAGCGGTCCTGTTTAAAAAACCACCGTCGTCGCTTTCTTGATGATTAATGTTTGTTTCCAAAATATTTCCCAAAGAGCCTCTTCTAACATTTACTGGGGGTTGAGAATTTGCATTATCTGAAAACACTTTTTCATATAACAAATATTTATTTGTATTTATATCAATACCATCTTCATCCACCAACAAATGAGGATGTGACAAGGTGCGTCGTGCTTCTAAATTTTTCTGTTGCTTCAAATTGTCCCTTTCGATTTGTTGAGCACTTCTTCTTTCAAAAGAAGTGTCAGCATTATTGTAAAATTGTTGCCCCATGAACGGTTTATGATCCTCTACCCTTTGAGCCCTTGGTGGTATCATATGAGAATAATGTTGCTGTTGACTTCTCAATTGTTGAGCATAATATTGATGATGGGATTGTTGGACCATGTGCTGTTGAAGGATGTGTTGATTGTATTGGTGAGGTTCAGGAACTGATGGAGGATAAACTAAAAGTAATTATTGAAAATAATAAATTTAAAAAGTTTGTTTTCAAAAAAACCTTGTCCTGAATTTAGCCTGTTTGGCTCAGGCTCTGCTATTATTGGTAGATTTTCCATTGGAGGTTTCCTAATAATTGTTTCATTATTTAAACCAGTAATGTCTGGTTTATCAGGCTCTTTGCCTCGAAATTTGCCTGAAATTATGTCCTTTAATGCGTGATAGGTTTTGGTGACTCCCCTAAAAAAAAATTCAGTTGGTAAATGTTTATCAACAAAGCATCATCTAAATCAATTCAAATTCTTACTTGTTAGTTTTAGGACTCTCATTTTGGTCTAATGTGGATTGAATTCCTGGTTCAGCCGGTTGAATTTCGTTGGTTTGAGATGTTGGTAGGCCGTGGTTTGCATAGATTTCAACCTCAGGACAATATGAGGCTCGGTATAGTACTGATTCGGGTGTTTGCTGAATTTGATGGGTCTAAATAAAGGTATTTATTTACACTGTAAGTCTAGAAAATTGTGAAATATTGAAAAACACCTTTATGTAAATAGTTGATTTTGGTCTAATGAAGAAATGTAAAAATTATGAATTGACAATGAAGACAAGACAAAAGTAGGTAGTATAAGTTATTAACAGTGGCGGCTGGTGACTATTTCAAGTGAGGAGGCTAAAAAATAATGAATTACGGTAAGGTATAACCACTGCGCAGCAGGCAAAATTTGTTTTGGGGTGCCCATGCCCTCAATAATTTATCTCAAATTCAATAAAAAACATGAATACTCGAAAAAAATTTCCTTTTCTTCAACTTAAGTATATATTTTCAGAGTTAATTTTGACGAAAAATAAAAAGCCACAATTTTGAATTTCAAAAAAAAAAAATTTCTATCGGATAGAGGATCAAAAAATACGACGAAAAGTTGATTTGACCCTCATCGCTACGGCACATCTTTAAGGCCGAAAAAAAAATAAAAAAGAAAAGGACCCTGCACACTTCTTATGAGATTTCTGACCGCGGTCAAATTTAACCAGCTTTTAGTATGTTATAGATCTGACCTTTCTGATCTATAACTACCATGGGCACAACCTAATCCTATGACTAGTTTTTGAGATACAGGGTGTTCAATGTGTGAATGTCCGATATGCATTATGACATCTTATTCAATCAGCCAAATTATATTCGTGTGAGAATTAAAATACCAATAGTTATTTATGCTCGAACCATAAGTTCATGAATGTCCCATTTTGGTTGTACTGGGTCTGTCCCTTTTAATTTCTACAGCTTAAACAAAAAATAATTTAAAAAAAGTTAAACACAAAAGTTGTAGGGTTTTGTCTATTATCTTTTGCAAGTGTCAAAACGGGCAAATGACAGGTGCCAAGTGTCATAATGGAAAACACTTGCATTTTTGGCTAGATTTTTTCTTTCTGCTTCCAAATATATGTTGATATTTGGTTCAGGGTTTAGCTGTTTTTACGCTATTTAGTTTTACTTCAAAAGTTGCTTACATGAAGCAGTAGAAGAGTCATTAGGATACTTTGAAAACACTGGCCGTAACAAACCCTATTGGGGAGATGAAGAGATAGAAAAGGAAATTGAAGTAAAAAAACAAACGTATGGAAAATATCTTGTATATATGTATGTATGTATGTGTTGGAGGTGTCAGTGTTACCTTCTTCCACCCCAGATTATGTAGGTGCTTATTTAGTCTGCAATGTCCCGAGAGAAACCCGGTTATGGAAAATATCTTAGTACTCAAAAAGAACACCGCAAAGAATTATATGAACTATCACAAAGGAGAGTACGTAATATGATTACACAAAAGAAAATCGACACAAAGAAAAGACGCTGTAATAGATTAAACTGTTAAATAGGGGGAGGGAAAAGCACAGAAAATTGGAGATTTCTATAATCTTTGAGGCAAGAGAAAACCAAAGAAATCATATCTCTGATTACTATAAATTATTGGGATAAGCACTTCGTCACCTGTACACTAAAGACCACGAACAGTTTACAGAAAAACCCGAGAACGACAGAGTATAAATATATTAGAATATATGTTGAGGAGGTGAAGGAGGTCTGTACAAAACTAAAAAACAGAAAGGCCCTAGGACCCGGTGGTATACCAGCAGAATTAGTTTAGCATAACATGAAAACCTAACGAGACTCTTCCAAAACTGCTTGAACAACGGAGAAGTACCATCCGAATGGAAACTGTCTTTTATGTTAACCATTCATAAAAAAGTAGCAAAAAGATGTGTGACAATTACAGAGGAATCGCAGTAATGAGCACAATTAGCAGAATATACGAAAAAATCTTAAAGGGAAAATGCCGACAACGGCAGGGAGATCCACAGTAGACCATCTATTATGTATTACTCAACTTAGCGAGAAAATAACGGCAGTAAATAAGGAATTACATCTCATCTATATAGACCTGAAAAAAGCGTATGACAGTGTCCCTCTAACCAAATCATGGAATCTCTTTAAACTATAAACTTAATAAAAGCGATCCAGGAATCAAACTGCTATCGAAATGGAAACAGAAATGCAAAGGGATGGGCATCACCCTAAAATGAAAATATTCTATATAAATTGAGTTTTGCAGACGACCAAATAGAGCTGGCACTTCTCTATGACTGGCACAGCATAATGGAAGATTTAGAATATATTATGACAAGAAGGCTTGTTGAAGAGTATGAAACGTGGGGGCTAGAAGTCAACATAAAAAAACTGAATACATGCGCATAGGAGGAACGTCTGGGAGGAACACAGCAGGATATGACGCTGAAAGATGAACGCACATTAAAATCGTGCAGTAAATACAAATACATCGGTCTAAATAAAACAAATGACAGGACTCTAGATGGAGCCATCAAAGAGAGAAATGTTTACGGCAGGAAAGCTTTTAGAATGTTTACCACTATATTTTGTGAGAACAAAATATTGGCAAAGAAAACAAAAATCGCATACAACACGATTGTCAAAAGCATTGTGAAGAGTGGCAACTGAAAAAGAAATCTATCATCAACATTAGAGGCTACGGAAATGAACTATTGGAGACGAGCCTCCGGCAAATTCAGGTTGGAGAAAATAAGAAACGAAATGATACGAGAACTGATGCGAGTCAGACATACAATGGTCGCAGATGAGATAAACAATAAAACAACTAAAATGGTACGGACACGTTCAAAGAATGACTCCAGAAAGGCTCATTAAACAAGTTCTAGAATATACAGGCAGAAGAAGAATAGGGAGACCCAGAGAAAGTTGGAAAGAAGAAATTGATAAGGGAATAACGTTTAGAAGTAGGCAGTAGGCCAGTGGAACAACTGATCCGAATGGCGACTGGGTATCGGAAGACGTCGTAGAACGTTATGACACTGATATTATATATATACCAGGGTGTTTCACGGACATCGAAACAGAGGCGTTTTAGGGTATTTTAAAGTCGATTTAAAAAAAAAACGCTCGGACACGTCATTTTTGTATTCAAAGGGGAAACTTTTTGACTCCATCGGTATTTCGCTGGGTGCACACCCTGGATGGGGTGACTTTCACCCCTGTTTTTTTTTATAGGAAAGATAGGTCGAGGGGTACCTTGTTTTAAAGGTATTTTGATTCTCGTCACAACTGCGTATTTTTTTGAAAATCGAATGATTAGTTTTCACGATATTCACTGTCAAAGTTGCCATGGGCTAAATAGGAAATAATCTCTGGTCCTGTTTTTCTCAAATTAACACTTTCCTGACTTACTTCTCGGACACGTCAATTTTCACTTTTTCAGAAGCATGCATACAAAAAATAAAAATTGACGTGTCCAAGGCTAGAAGATTGTGTCTTATTTAGCTGTTTGTCACCTTTTCGATCACTTTTGAGAACCAAGATACAAGAGTTGTCCCAAAATGCAACTTTTTCAAAAATACCTTGCATCTAGAAAAACCAAAAAGGGCGATGACAAACCTGTTGGCGCCATCTTCCGTTTGACAGAAAAGTAGCCAAAGTTCGCGAAACCTCATCATTCCAACTCCAATAGAAACAGAGTTATTCCTTATGTATACCAAAATGGAACACCCTGTACATGAACTTATCCCCCTATGGTTCGAGCATAAATAACTATTGGTATTTTACTTGATTTTTGTGCCTTGACCGAATTCTCTCACGAATATAATTTGGCAGATTGAATAAGATGTCATAATGCATATCGGATATTCACATATTGAACACCCTGTATCTCAAAAACTAGTCATAGGATTAGGTTGTGCCCATGGTAGTTACTGATTAGAAAGGTCAGATCCATAACATACAAAAATTTGGTTAAATTTGACCGCGGTCAGAAATCCCATAAGAAGGAAAGGACCCCTCCTCTATCCGATAGAATTTGTCCTAAAAATTCGATTTTTTTTTTTTCAATTTTCAAAGCGTCCTAACTCGAAAACGAAAAGCTCAGGAGAAAAACTTCAAATACAAAACTTATAGATCTCATCGAGTACTACAGAAAAGCCTATTAGAAGTATCCCGCCACAGGACACCGTTTTCGAGAAAATCGACCTGGAAAATTTTAACAAAATTACAAAGAATTTCAACTTTGACAGCTGATATCTCAAAGACGAAAACGGCCTGGAATCTCAATAAAAAAATATTTTATAGGTAATTTCATTCTCTTCCAAAAGAGATATAACTCAATCGGTTGAGAAATAGCGGAGGTATAAGCGAAAAAGTAACGTCGTGTCAGGCTAACTTTTTTCCGGTACATCAAAGAGAACTGAAACTCAGAATATCGACTAAAAATCACATTTTGAATATTCCCGATTTTTGATTGGCTCCAAATTATCCGCTGACCAATAGAATTATAGACTGGGCCCCGTGATTGAAATAACTCTAGCCCTTCGGGCTTGCATATAACTCCGGCCCTTCGGGCTTGCATATAACTCCGGCCCTTCGGGCCGGTATTACTAAATATCCCAGATTCACAGATTTTTGTCGTTGAGGCGCGGGATTGATTGAAATAATGTTGTCAGATTTTTCTAAATTACATTGAAATATCGAAATTTGTAAATTATTATTTCAATTAGGAATCAAGAATAAAAAACTGAGATTGAATTTTCAATTTTTTGGGGGAGGCCTCCCCTGCCTTCTCTGACGAGCCGCCACTGGTTATTAATTAAAATCAAACATATATAAAGATGTATTTTCTGATCCAATACCAAACATGAAATTCTACCTGATCTGAGTAAATTTGATGTGGCTGCATCTGATCCTGATTCGTCCAAGCAGTCAATCGTTTTGGGGGTACATCAGGCGCTATAACAGCCCCTTTAGATTTCTTTTTCAGGTCGTTCAAAATGGGAATTTTGAAATTTTTCTCTGTAGACGATAAAGTAATTTGACGTTCTATCTAAAAATAAAAACAGAAAAACTCATTGACTGTTTTGTTGCACGCCTGAGAAAAATCCATTGTTGTAAGTACAACAATGGCTCGTTGGTATAATAATTAGATTTCACCATCAAGTAAAGTGCAGTTATATTATCATAAAATATTAAAATCTTATACAGAGTTAATTTGCAAAAGGGAAGTATACAATTCTCACCGTCTAACTTGAGAAAAACAAATATTTGTTTTTGAAATATTCAGGTATAATATAACAACAGAGAGCTTTTTGAGAAGTTGTAAATTTTTTCGGTATTTTAGAGAGAATCATAATATGTACCTATTTATAGAAGTGTAAATAGGGCCTTAAAGTATACTTTGTTCCAAGAAAAGTTTAATCAGATTAAAACGAAATAGAAATTTAATAAGGTTGTTGTGTAAATTGAGTGTTAATAGACTTGAAAAGTAAATTAATATTTTCCCTTAGAAGGGGAACGCACCCTCGAGAAAATAATTAGGCTAAAAGCTAATAAAATAGGGCATCAATTTATTGCTATCACACAAGAAACCTATCAATTCTCATTCAATATTTGACTACTTGTGCTGGAAAACTTACTGGAAATTTGTTAGAGTGTGTATAAAGTTGTCCCAAAGAAGAAAAGGCGACCGCCGATCCGGGTATTCCAGTTTCAGCGAAGGGCGGCACGGGCGGCATACGATAAATGGGCGGCGTCTGGACCAACGGTTGAGATTGAGGGCCAGATTTGGGTGGCGGTTCATGCCCGTTTCCGTAAACTGGAAACGACAATTTTTAGTTTTTCAGTATCTAAGATTCTTCGTAGAAGGCGTTTTCTTATCAATCTAAAATTCAACTTGATTCTTGAAATTATAGTGTGTTGAAACTGGAAGCTTCCTGGCTGGATATATGAAAAAATCATTTACCTAAGTTTCCTGAATTTCCAGAAAAAAAATCAAAAATCAGGCTAGAAACCGTATAGCAGAAATATCACTCAGTGTGGCTTTCTGATTCTAAAAATCGTAACTTTGTTATCATGGGTTCTTTTTCTTCAAAATTTTGGTATGTTGAAGCCAGAAGCCTGCTGAATGTATAAAAAAATTATTGACATTCCCAAATTTCCTGAATTTCCAGGAACAAAATTAAAAACTGTATGGTGGAAATATCACTCACAGTGTATTTTTGGAATTGTAAAAATCGTAATTTTGTTATCCTGGGTTCTTTTTCTTAAAAAATTTGGTATGTTGAAGCCAAAAGCCTAAAGAATATATAAAAAAATCATTGACACTTCTAAGTTTCCTGAGTTTCCAGAAAAAAAAAATTAAAAACAGGCCATTAACTATATGGCAGAAATATCACTCAGTGCGTCTTTATGATTGTAGAAGTCGTAACTTTATTATCCTGGGTTCTTTTTCTTCAAAATTTTCGTATGTTGAAGCCAGAAGCCTCCTGAATATATAAAAAAATCATTGACACTCTCAAGTTTCCTGAATTTCCAGGAACAAGATCAAAAACTGTATGGCAGAAATATCACTTACAGTGTATTTTTCAGATTGTAAAAATTGTAACTTTGTTATCCTGGGTTCTTTTTCTATAAAATTTTAGTATGTTGAAGCCAGAAGCATAATGAATATATAAAAAAATCATTGACATAAGAAGTTTCCTGAATTTCCAGGAACAATATCAAAAACTGTATGGCAGAAATATCACTTACAGTGTATCTTTCAGATTGTAAAAATCGCAACTTAGTTATCCTGGGTTCTTTTTCTATAAAATTTTATTACGTTGAAGCCAGAAGCCTACTGAATATATAAAAAAATCATTGACATTCCCAAGTTTCCTGAATTTCCAGGAACAAGATCAAAAACTGTATGGCAGAAATATCACTTACAGTGTATCTTTCAGATTGTAAAAATCGTAACTTTGTTATCCTGGGTTCTTTTTCTATAAAATTTCAGTACGTTGAAGCCAGAAGCCTACTGAATATATAAAAAAATCATTGACATAAGAAGTTTCCTGAATTTCCAGGAACAATATCAAAAACTGTATGGCAGAAATATCACTTACAGTGAATCTTTCAGATTGTAAAAATCGTAACTTAGTTATCCTGGGTTCTTTTTCTATAAAATTTTATTACGTTGAAGCCAGAAGCCTACTGAATATATAAAAAAATCATTGACACTCTTAAGTTCCCTGAATTTCCAGGAACAAGATCAAAAACTGTATGGCGGAAATATCACTTACAGTGTATCTTTCAGATTGTAAAAATCGTAACTTAGTTATCCTGGGTTCTTTTTCTATAAAATTTTATTACGTTGAAGCCAGAAGCCTACTGAATATATAAAAAAATCATTGACACTCTTAAGTTCCCTGAATTTCCAGGAACAAGATCAAAAACTGTATGGCGGAAATATCACTTACAGTGTATCTTTCAGATTGTAAAAATCGTAACTTAGTTATCCTGGGTTCTTTTTCTATAAAATTTTATTACGTTGAAGCCAGAAGCCTACTGAATATATAAAAAAAATCATTGACACTCTTAAGTTCCCTGAATTTCCAGGAACAAGATCAAAAACTGTATGGCGGAAATATCACTTACAGTGTATCTTTCAGATTGTAAAAATCGTAACTTTGTTATCCTGGGTTCTTTTTCTATAAAATTTCAGTACGTTGAAGCCAGAAGCCTACTGAATATATAAAAAAATCATTGACATAAGAAGTTTCCTGAATTTCCAGGAACAATATCAAAAACTGTATGGCAGAAATATCACTTACAGTGAATCTTTCAGATTGTAAAAATCGTAACTTAGTTATCCTGGGTTCTTTTTCTATAAAATTTTATTACGTTGAAGCCAGAAGCCTACTGAATATATAAAAAAATCATTGACACTCTTAAGTTCCCTGAATTTCCAGGAACAAGATCAAAAACTGTATGGCGGAAATATCACTTACAGTGTATCTTTCAGATTGTAAAAATCGTAACTTAGTTATCCTGGGTTCTTTTTCTATAAAATTTTATTACGTTGAAGCCAGAAGCCTACTGAATATATAAAAAAATCATTGACACTCTGAAGTTCCCTGAATTTCCAGGAACAAGATCAAAAACTGTATGGCGGAAATATCACTTACAGTGTATCTTTCAGATTGTAAAAATCGTAACTTAGTTATCCTGGGTTCTTTTTCTATAAAATTTTATTACGTTGAAGCCAGAAGCCTACTGAATATATAAAAAAATCATTGACACTCTTAAGTTCCCTGAATTTCCAGGAACAAGATCAAAAACTGTATGGCGGAAATATCACTTACAGTGTATCTTTCAGATTGTAAAAATCGTAACTTAGTTATCCTGGGTTCTTTTTCTATAAAATTTTATTACGTTGAAGCCAGAAGCCTACTGAATATATAAAAAAATCATTGACACTCTTAAGTTCCCTGAATTTCCAGGAACAAGATCAAAAACTGTATGGCGGAAATATCACTTACAGTGTATCTTTCAGATTGTAAAAATCGTAACTTAGTTATCCTGGGTTCTTTTTCTATAAAATTTTATTACGTTGAAGCCAGAAGCCTACTGAATATATAAAAAAATCATTGACACTCTGAAGTTCCCTGAATTTCCAGGAACAAGATCAAAAACTGTATGGCGGAAATATCACTTACAGTGTATCTTTCAGATTGTAAAAATCGTAACTTTGTTATCCTGGGTTCTTTTTCTATAAAATTTCAGTACGTTGAAGCCAGAAGCCTACTGAATATATAAAAAAATCATTGACATAAGAAGTTTCCTGAATTTCCAGGAACAATATCAAAAACTGTATGGCAGAAATATCACTTACAGTGTATCTTTCAGATTGTAAAAATCGTAACTTAGTTATCCTGGGTTCTTTTTCTATAAAATTTTATTACGTTGAAGCCAGAAGCCTACTGAATATATAAAAAAATCATTGACACTCTTAAGTTCCCTGAATTTCCAGGAACAAGATCAAAAACTGTATGGCGGAAATATCACTTACAGTGTATCTTTCAGATTGTAAAAATCGTAACTTAGTTATCCTGGGTTCTTTTTCTATAAAATTTTATTACGTTGAAGCCAGAAGCCTACTGAATATATAAAAAAATCATTGACACTCTGAAGTTCCCTGAATTTCCAGGAACAAGATCAAAAACTGTATGGCGGAAATATCACTTACAGTGTATCTTTCAGATTGTAAAAATCGTAACTTAGTTATCCTGGGTTCTTTTTCTATAAAATTTTATTACGTTGAAGCCAGAAGCCTACTGAATATATAAAAAAATCATTGACACTCTTAAGTTCCCTGAATTTCCAGGAACAAGATCAAAAACTGTATGGCGGAAATATCACTTACAGTGTATCTTTCAGATTGTAAAAATCGTAACTTTGTTATCCTGGGTTCTTTTTCTATAAAATTTTAGTATGTTGAAGCCAGAAGCATAATGAATATATAAAAAAATCATTGACATAAGAAGTTTCCTGAATTTCCAGGAACAATATCAAAAACTGTATGGCAGAAATATCACTTACAGTGTATCTTTCAGATTGTAAAAATCGTAACTTAGTTATCCTGGGTTCTTTTTCTATAAAATTTTATTACGTTGAAGCCAGAAGCCTACTGAATATATAAAAAAATCATTGACATAAGAAGTTTCCTGAATTTCCAGGAACAATATCAAAAACTGTATGGCAGAAATATCACTTACAGTGAATCTTTCAGATTGTAAAAATCGTAACTTAGTTATCCTGGGTTCTTTTTCTATAAAATTTTATTACGTTGAAGCCAGAAGCCTACTGAATATATAAAAAAAATCATTGACACTCTTAAGTTCCCTGAATTTCCAGGAACAAGATCAAAAACTGTATGGCGGAAATATCACTTACAGTGTATCTTTCAGATTGTAAAAATCGTAACTTAGTTATCCTGGGTTCTTTTTCTATAAAATTTTATTACGTTGAAGCCAGAAGCCTACTGAATATATAAAAAAATCATTGACACTCTGAAGTTCCCTGAATTTCCAGGAACAAGATCAAAAACTGTATGGCGGAAATATCACTTACAGTGTATCTTTCAGATTGTAAAAATCGTAACTTAGTTATCCTGGGTTCTTTTTCTATAAAATTTTATTACGTTGAAGCCAGAAGCCTACTGAATATATAAAAAAATCATTGACACTCTTAAGTTCCCTGAATTTCCAGGAACAAGATCAAAAACTGTATGGCGGAAATATCACTTACAGTGTATCTTTCAGATTGTAAAAATCGTAACTTAGTTATCCTGGGTTCTTTTTCTATAAAATTTTATTACGTTGAAGCCAGAAGCCTACTGAATATATAAAAAAATCATTGACACTCTTAAGTTCCCTGAATTTCCAGGAACAAGATCAAAAACTGTATGGCGGAAATATCACTTACAGTGTATCTTTCAGATTGTAAAAATCGTAACTTAGTTATCCTGGGTTCTTTTTCTATAAAATTTTATTACGTTGAAGCCAGAAGCCTACTGAATATATAAAAAAATCATTGACACTCTTAAGTTCCCTGAATTTCCAGGAACAAGATCAAAATCTGTATGGCGGAAATATCACTTACAGTGTATCTTTCAGATTGTAAAAATCGTAACTTTGTTATCCTGGGTTCTTTTTCTATAAAATTTCAGTACGTTGAAGCCAGAAGCCTACTGAATATATAAAAAAATCATTGACATAAGAAGTTTCCTGAATTTCCAGGAACAATATCAAAAACTGTATGGCAGAAATATCACTT